AGGCTAATGGTAAAGATGACTCAGAGTCTGTAGAGGGATAGAGACAGGTAAGTGTAAGGGCAAAAACTTGACAGATGGAATATATCATGGAAAAATGAGAGTTTATGCCCTTTGGCAGGAAGACTAGAGGAGCTGCATATAATTTAAATGAAGAAAGACTGCAGAAATCTATAGTACAGAGGGAGTTCTCATGCAAAAACCACAAAATGTGCTCTCAAAGGGTAATGAATCTATGGAATTCTTTACTGCAGAGGGCTGTAGAATTTGGGTCATTAAATAAATTCAAGGCTGAGATAGACAGATTTTTAATCAGTCAGTGAATCAAGGGTTATGACGAAAACAGAGAAAAGTGGATTTGAGGATTATCAGATCAGCCGTGATTTCAATGACTGGTGGAGCAGACTTGATGGGCTAATGACCTGTTTCTGCTTCTGCAGCTTATGGTCTTATAGAAAGGCTATTAGCTTCAAAGATCAAAACTTACGTTCTCTAATATTTACATGGAAACTCCCCTTATAGACTAATGAGTGATCTAGCCTAGTGAATTACAACATGGACCAATACACAGCTTGAAGAGCCATGCTCAATTCCTGCCTGCGTAGGATTAGCCGAGCTCAGCCAAAGCAATGGTAGGATTGCAACAATAAGCCTTCTCCCACAACTATGGAAAAAGAAGAGTCACTCAGTATTTCTGTGTTTGATTGCTATCTAAGGAGACTGTCCTTGAAAAAGCATGCGTGTACGCATAAGATTGTGCTCAGTCATTACCACACTAGAATTGTCAGCAAAAAGTGACTTTCTAAATTTACATATGATGAATGAGTCTATGGACAAGATACCAATAGCCAATAACACCTCTGCAGCTGGATTGAGCCAAGTCTTGGTGCCTTGAGGAAAATAGAAGCCAGAAAACGAATGAATATTGTCCCATCACTTATATCGGACAAATGTCACCGCAGGAGCTGAAACATTAGTAGAATTGCCAGACCTCTTTCTCCAAGTACCTCATATCTCCATCTGAACTTCCAATCCTTTCTTGTCAGTTGATCCTAATGCCTTTAAGATCCATGCCTCACAGTCACCTTCCACAAATGTTATCTTTCCCTGCCATCCATGCAAGCCATAGTATCATGGGGAACTTTACTTATTGTCTTTGGAGAGAACAGAATGCACAACATAAGGAGAGTCAGAGACCTGGCAGAGGGTAGGAGTAACCCTCCAATGACAGTCATCTTGTTAGTTACAGGAAATGGGGGACCACACTGCCATTTGGAAAGGAGATGCAGATGTCAGTAATGACCTGCTGTGAAAACCTAAGCCTCCTGACGCATTAGAACGTGCGGAGATAGCTAATCCTCTGCCTGTAGACCCTGTGTTGGAGATTTTACCTCCTTGGATGTGGATCTCGGTGTTCTTCCCCTCTGCTGCATGGACTGAGATCTGGAGGTGTACCACTCCAATTTAAATATGTAGTAAAGAATTCACCTCTCCCCTATCTGCCACTCCAAAACAGCAATGTGTATCTGTGCACTGGGTCAAGTACTCATTGTGTGCATTTGACAGTTCAACCTCCAACCCTCTCCTGCCTGTTATCAGGGTACAATGATGGGGTTAATTATCAAGGCCACTATCCTTTCAGCCTACCTGCTTTTATGTTTGGAACTTCTTCCATTGCTTATTTAGTAAAGCTAGTACATAACAATAATATAATACTGGGCATCATAACTTTGAACTCCTGTTTATGCTGAGTTAACTGATCTCATCCAGGGTAAAAGTTGTGATACTACAAATAGCTGCAGAAGCCATCTGATCCTCAGGCAGAGTTCTGGTTCTTACAGCTAGCCACTGAGCTCTGCTATAAAGTGTAGCCATCATGAGGATGGTAATCTTAAAGAACAGATCATTTACTCATTGAAATGAATAGCCTAAAATTAGGGACGTTCTACAACAGATGGGACAAGATATTCAACCAGTTTACTCCCTGGGCAATGAAGGTGGAAATTACCCCACTGAAATGTAACTGACTGCGAATACCTTGCTACTGCTGTGTCTGATATGCTTAAAAGCTTTGAAAACAGGTAAGGCCTTTATTACCCAACACACAATACTGGACCATCATGACTTAGACTAATATTAACTAAATTATTTCATGCATACAAAGGCACTTAATGTGTTTGTTTTTATCTACTTTCAGTAATTGGAATAAAGGCAATAGTGCTTTGAATGGATTTAGTATGACATTAATTGGGTCAATGGCATCAACTGTTGTTTATTAAACCTCATAGATTTTCTAAAAAGTGCACACAGTCAATCATTTGCTCAAGTATAACCCAAGAAACAATTTGGTTCAAAAATTGCCAAGATTCACCCTGATGACTCAGGCAAAGTATCCAGCTCAAAGCCAACCAATCACATTACCAGCCACTACTGTCAGCTGACCTCAACAGGATCAATGTTAAAGGCTTTAATATTGGCTATAGTACCCTGAGGTTCTGGAATCAAACCCAGTGAGAGAATCATAGCCCGAGAGGGAACCATACCCCACTGAGGGAACCGTAGCCCATTGAGAAAAACACACTCCATTGAGGGAAACATACTCCATTGAGGGAACTATACCCCATTGAGGGAGCCATACCTTACTGAGGGTGCAATAACATATTGAGGGAGCCAGCAACTAATGAGGGAACCATACCCCAGTGTGGGAGCCATACCCTGGTGAAGGAGCCAGTTGCCAATGAGGGAACCATACCCCAGTGAGGGAACCATACCCCACTGAGAGAACCATACCCACTGAGGGAACCATACCCCACTGAGGGAACCATGCTCCATTGAGGGAACCATGCTCCATTGAGGGAACCATACCCCATTGAGGGAACAATAACATATTGAGGGAGCCACAGTTCAGTGAGGGAGCCATACCCCATTGAGGGAACCATACCCCACTGAAGAAACCATTACTCATAGAGGGAACCATACCCCACTGAGGGAACCATACCCTAGTAACAGAACAATGCCCCAGTGACAGAACCATGCCCCAGTGGCAGAATCATTCCACAGAAGGGGAGCCATGCCCCTGGTGAGGGAACCATGCCCCTCTGAGAAAAACCATGCCTAAGTAAGGGAACCATATACTCGCGAAAGCATCATAATGCAATGAAAGTATCATACCCCAGTGAGAGAATCTAACCCAGTCAGAGAACTGTACCTCACTATACTCTATTGAGAGGATCAAGTCCCAGTGAAGAAATTATGACCAAGGGTTCAACACATTCAATGATGGAGGAAGCTCAAAAAAATTGAATGAACAAAAATTAATTTGGTAAATAACTGGACATTTGGGAAAGCTCTTGAAACAGCCTGACACTGATGTGTCAACTTTCACAATGTTTATTTTTAGGTGCAGAACGGAGGAATGGTAGTTTTTAATATACAGAGTTGCTGAGTTACAATGACTCTGCACACACTCCTGTTTGCAAAACCACAAAACAGTTTGCCTATGAAGAAAGTTACTTTAAACTCCAAAGATTGAAAGAACCAGACAGTAGGCTGAATAGCTAAAAAAGATGACTGTTCACCTCGATTGTTTTTAAAGAATATTGGCATGTAGTTTCATTGAAAGCAAAATACACTCATGCTGAACTGCCTGCAGCACAGAAACTGTTCCAATGTAGCATATCAGCATGTCATGGTGACGTAACATTCCTAATGTTATGCTCCATATCTGGTTCTCTAAATATCATTTATTGTTACAGTTGCAGTCTGACACAAACAAACACATTTCAAATAAATTTTGCTTTGAAAGAATTTACTCTTCAAACAATGAGTTAACTTTGATTTTGTATGTTTTATATATTTGCCCATGGGATTTTATTTGCACTGGCTATAGGCCAGTTCTTTATTGCCCTTGAGAAGGTGGTGATGCACTCCCTTCTTGAACTGTTTCAGTTCATAAGGTGCATGGATACCCACCGTGCTGAAAGAGACAGCATCCCAGGATGTTCACCTAGTGACGGTGAAGGGACAGTGATGTAATTCCAAGTCAGGATGGTGTGTGGCTTGAAGGAGAATCTGCAGTTTCTGGTTTTCAAGAAATTCTTAGCAAGCCTCTTTATAAAATAACTTGTTGCTTTTTACCTCTGATTTGGTAGAGGTTGTGGGTTTGGAAGGCGCTGTCTAAGGCGATTTGGCAGATGGAACACCCTGCTGCCACTATGAAACAGTTACTGAGCGTGTCAATTTTTAAGGTGGTGGATGGGGTGCCAGTCAGGCAGGCGGTTTGTCCTGGATAGTACCTTGAGTGATATTGCAACTGCATTCTTCCAGGCAACTAGAGAGTACTCATCACACTCCTGACTTATATAAATGAGAACTAGGCTTCGGGGAGTTGAGGGTTGAGTCACTCACATGAGTTTTTGTCCATTTGAGATCAGTTTGATTTCATCGTTGAAAGACATCGTTCCTTGTTTGCAGCAGACTAATATAATCTGCACCATGTTTTATGGCATTGATCTTCATCTGACTTCTGTTAGACTATACCATGCAGGTCTGTTCACCTTGATAAAGGATTTCATTACTTCAGAGTTAGAAACCAGGAGTCAGGGCCAATTTCCAGGACCCTGGCCTGTCCTAGGGGGAAACATTTGGGAAATTGCCTGTGTTATCCCCTCAGTTGGCATGGAGACAGGTTCCTTGTACATTTATGGGTGACAGACAAGATCTTCAAGCTGGAGGCCCAGTCTGAAGTCTTCCAGTTCAAGAGGCCAGCAAGCTGCAATAAGGATAAAAAACTGAGCGCACAATTCAACATGGAGGTGAGCTTTCATCAAGTCTTTTATCCAGAAGGGAATCCTTCCAAGTGGTCGTTCTTGCTCCAAGGCTGGCAGGAGGATCTTTAGGGCTCAAAGTTTTGGCAAAGATTTGTAGCTCAGGTTGTGGGTGAGGTCACTGACTTGCTCGCTGAGCTGGCTTGTTCTCATTCATACGTTTCATCACCATGCTAGGTGACATCATCAGTGGACCCTCAGATGAAGCGGTGTTCTTCTACTCCTCTCGGAATTTACACTGTCCGGTCCATTATGGTGAGTAGTGTCATTTCTGGTTTTGATCTGTATGGGTTTGTATGTGCGGCCCATATCTATATGTTTGTTGATTACATTACAGACACGGTAACCATAGTAGCCCAAGCCAAACATAGACACGCACGGGAATTCCTAGAGGCATGGTTCTCCACCAATAATGCCTTCAATGCCCATAGAAGGACCCTAAAGAAGTAATTGGTTGTCCACCTCATGGGATCTGAACCCTAAATTGCTTCATATAAAATAGCTGCCATGGGAATGGGGTCAAGAAACCAGCATGTTGGCTGGTCCCTCTTGTTTTGGATCTGTCCACTTCCGTTCTCAACACCAATGTGGCCCATTAACTCTTCCCTAGAGGTGTCTTAAAAAGAGAAAAAGGCATTAATTGACTGGAACCTGAAATTAGTCATTTCTACGCTCAGTTTAATCTGCAATTAAAAATAGCCACATAAGCTAACTTACTCAGAATTGTGGACTGTAAGGAGGCAGTTGTAATTTACAGGCCAGGTTAAAGCTCTGGGGACATGGGAATAGATCCCACTATGAAAAAAGTTGAAATTTTAACTCTTTAAAATCTGAAATTACAAAAGCAAGTTTCACGGTGACCATGTTGATTGTTGTGAAAGAAAACATCCGGTTCACTAATGCTTTTGCGGAAGGAAATCCGCCATCCTTACCAGGCTGGCCTATGCGTGGCTCCAGACCCACAGAAATGTGGTTGACTGATGACTGAAATGACCTAAGGAACCAATCGATTCAGGGGCAATTAGGGATGAGCAACAAATGCCAACTTTGCTAGTGATACCCAAATCTCATGTAAGAATTTTTAAAGGCTTAAAGGCACAGGGCCAAGGTCATGGCAAGCTAACTTAACCATGCTTCAGTGAAGAGA